TCTTCCCCTTGCCTCTCTCACTTCCCCTTTCCCCAGCTGGAGTTTTTTGGGGTCACCTCCCTGATGAACTACCTTCACGAGAATCCTTGTCTGAGCACCTCCAACTGGGGGACCCTAACTAAGGCATTCCTAGACCACCGTGTTTATGAGAAGGCACGTGTGTGTGTGTGTGTGTGTGTGTGTGTGTGTGTGTGTGTGTGTGTGTGTTGGCTTGGTTTGGGAGCAGTGCTGGGAATGGGGTGTGTCACTGTCCAGTGATCAGATATTGTGGGGAGCTAAAGGCAAATGAAATGGTGAAAGCTCTAGACCTTGGAGTCAGAGGGTCCCAGATTCAAAGCTCGGGTCCGGGTAATCTTGGACAAGTCACATCTCCTCTCTCAGCCTTGGCTTCCATTTTAATTGTACTTTTTTGGTGAAATAGGTGGGGGTAGGAATCCCTAGTATATGATGTTGACATGATGATGAAATTAAATTTTATTAGAAACGTGCTTAGCACAGTGTCTGGTACCTGAGGGCTCTGATGATGGTTTGTATGGGGGCAGGCTGGGGGGAGACCGTTGAGTTTGGGGCTTGCTTCATTGGGTAGTGGAAGCTTATTTGTTATTGGGTGCAATAAAATAAGGTGATGAGAGACAGGAGATAGATGTTGCTGGGGGGAAGAAAAAAGTGAGTAACAAGGAAGGAGAGAGAGAGGGAGATAGACCCACACAGGGACCCATCAGCCAGACAAACTTCTCTTCACTGTGGGGAAAGGAGTGGATTAGAGGTTTGTCAGACTCTCCTTTATGAGTGGAGGCAACTCAGCAAAAAGGGCAATGATGCCTTGGCTGCATTGAGCAATTCTAGCTCTGCCCTTCCCCTCTCCCCACATCCTCTATTACTGAAAACCCTGGGAACAGTGAGAAAGCACTCTTCATTGAATGACAGAACCTGCACGATGTGGAGCTTCACTTTTTTCCTCTTTTGGGGTGAGTATGAGCCTGAATAGGGGGTCTGGAGAGAGGCTGCACTGGAAATAGACTGTAAGGAAAAGGGAGGGCCTCGACTGTCCAGCCAAGAGATCATAATTCTAGGCTGGACACTGCAAACATCTTCACTGGGGAACCTTTGACCAAAATCATTTGGTTCAGGGAATTCATCTGTCAAGGAAGAGTTTCGTTATAGTCATTCAGTTGACATGTATTTCCTGAGGACCCACTGTATGCTGGGTGCTGTTTTAGGCACTGAGAATAGAGCAGTGAACAAACAGACAAGGTTTCTGCCCTTGTGAGGCTGACATACTGGTGGGAGGAGATAGGAAGAAAGGAAGTCACTAACGGTAATAGCAACCTCCCAAGTAGCACCGTTCTAAGTTCCTCAAATAGAGAATGTATTCAATCTTCACTAAATGCCTCTGATATTGGGTCATTAATAGTCCCATTTTCTCAGGGTAGTGGGATTGCTGGGTCATATGGTAGTTCCATTTTTAGTTTTTTAAGGAACCTCCGTACTGTTCTCCATAGTGGCAGTACCCACTTACATTCCCACCAACAGTGCAAGAGGGTTCCCTTTTCTCCACACCCTCTCCAGTATTTATTGTTTGTAGATTTTTTGATGATGGCCATTCTGATCGGTGTGAGGTGGTACCTCACTGTAGTTTTGATTTGCATTTCTCTAATGATTAGTGATGTTGAGCATCTTTTCATGTGCTTCTTGGCCATATGTATGTCTTCTTTGAAGAAATGTCTATTTAGGTCTTCCACCCATGTTTTGATTGGGTTGTTTGCTCTTTTGATATTGAGCTGTATGAGCTGTTTGTATATTTTGGAGTTTAATCCCTTGTCAGTTTCTTCATTTGCAAATATTTTCTCTGATTCTGAGGGTTGTCTTTTTGTCTTGTTTATGGTGTCCTTTGCTGTGCAAAAGCTTTTAAGTTTTATTAGGTCCCATTTGTTTATTTTTGTTTTTATTTTCAAAATTGGGTCATTTGTAGAGACGTGGATGGACCTAGAGACTGTCATACAGAATGAAGTAAGTCAGAAAGAGAAAAACAAATATCGTATATTTGCGCATGTATGTGGAATCTAGAAAAGTGGTACAGATGAACCTATTTGCAAAGCAGAAATAGAGACATAGATGTAGAGAACAAACGTATGGACACCAAGGGGTGGAAAGGCCGGGGGTGGGATGAATACAGAGATTGGGATTGACAGATATACACTACTATGTATAAAATAGGTAACTAATGAGAACCCTCTGCATAGCACAGGGAACTCTACTCAATGCTCTGTGGTGCCTGAAATGGGAAGGAGATCCAAAAGAGAGGGGATATATGTATACACATAGCTGATTCACTTCGCTGTACAGCAGAAACTAACAAAACCTTGTAAAGCAACTATACCCCAATTCAAATAAAATAGTCCCATTTTACAAAGGAGAAAAATGAGGCAAAAGAGATTAAATAACTTGCCCAAGACCATTTAGCTAGTAAGGGGTAGAGCTAGGATTTAAAAACAGGCATCCTGGATCCAGAGTCTGTACATCTCTAAACTATACTGCTCCAAATAACAAATAAACAAAAGCATTTCTGGGAGTGGCAAGCGCTATGAAAGAAATTGTCATAGAGTGTGACTGGGGGTTATGCAGAAGAGGGAAGTCAGGGGGAGGTATTTCTGCAGAAGTGATGTTTGTGCTGAGGCCTGAACAATGAGATGGAGCCATCCTGTCTGTTCTCTTAATTTTTTTTTTCTTCGGGTGTCAGTTTTTCTTGGTCTTGCTTATTTTTCATGTCATGGTTTCCTCCACGGGTCTCGTGAGTTTTGGTCTTTCGTTCAAATCTAAGAATGGGAGACCTTATCTAAGCAACAAGTGTGGGTTTTCCTCTGTGTTGTACATTGGATCCGTTTCCCTTATTTCACTGAGGAGAAAATTTGGTCACAAAGAGATTAGGTAACTTTCCCAAGGCCACGTAGTCTGTAATTGGTGAAACCAGATTTTTAAGCCCAAGCATTTTGACCCTAGCGCTGGTATGCTTAAACACAATGTTCTGTTGCCTTTAAAATAATTAAAGAGCAAGAGAATTTCAGTTAGTGATAATAAGAAAGTTGGGAGTTTGGGTCTGTGGGACTTGTCGACTGGCAGGTTTCATTAGAAGGAGCAGGTAATTTGTGGACCTCAAATGCTAAAATGCAGACTTGTTTCTTTGGGGTGTCAGCACTGGTGCTGGCCATTAGCACTCTATTCTGCCCTTAATAAGCAAAGAGTGGTGATGTTGACATTGATGATGGTGGTGATGGTGTTGGTGATGCTGAAGATGATGATAATACGATGATGATGATGGTGATGATGATATGATGTGATGATGGAGAGGAGCTAAATGTTGGGGGGCTGCACTGCCCTTTAGATGTTAAAAAAATTGTCTTACCCTCCCATTAAAATTTAATACTACAGATATACTATATACTTATTTATATATTATATGTATATCTGTATGTGTCTTATACGTGAAGAGTAAGATTTTTTCGTCTCTCCCCAAGAACCAAGTTTTGCTCTTGGGGGGAGATATCATTTCTTTTGAGAATGCATGTTTCAATGCATGGGGATTTTTTTTTTTTTTTTTTCGCGGTACGCGGGCCTCTCACTGCTGTGGCCTCTCCCGTTGCGGAGCACAGGCTCCGGACGCGCAGGCTCAGCGGCCATGGCTCACGGGCCCAGCCGCTCCGCGGCATGTGGGATCCTCCCGGACCGGGGCACGAACCCGTGTCCCCTGCATCGGCAGGCGGACTCTCAACCACTGCGCCACCAGGGAAGCCCATAGTATGGGGATTATTTTTCTTCTAATTTTTATTGGGGTATAGTCGATTTACAATGTAGTGTTAATTTCAGGTGTACAGCAAAGTGAATCTGTTATACATATACATATATCCACTCTTTTTTAGATTCTTTTCCAATATAGGCCATTACAAAATATTGAGTAGAGTTCCCTGGGCTCTACAGTAGGTTCTTATTAGTTTTTTTTTTTTCTTTCTTTTTGGCCGTGCTGCACGGCTTGCGGGATCTTAGTTCCCCGATGAGGCATCGAACCCATGTTACCTGCAGTGGAAGTGCGGAGTCCTAACCACCGGACCTCCAGGGAATTTCCTCAATGTATGTTTTTGAAAATCATCTGGAACTCTTTGTAAATGAAAAAAAATGAAGATAATACAAACAAAATGAAAAACGAAAATGAAGTGCAGAAAAGCAGGAATTGTGGCTG